ATTTAGGAGGCCAACGATAGGGCCGCCGCCGCGGCCAAGGAACGTAATCGGCTCGAACAAGAGGAGGAGGCCAAGCGACAGAAGGAGGAACAGGACCGACTTCGTTAAGAAGAGGCAAACCTGTAGGCGGCAGCCGAACACCGATCACGCCAGCGGGAACGACTGTTCACGTGGGAGACCGTGATCGGCGATGAGGCCGCACATTGGGTGGAATTGACATCTGCAGACGGGGCCCCGGAGACTGAGAAAGGGCTGTCAGCCCTTACGCAGGTCTCCAACAACCTCGTGGCCACCTGCGCTCTGCAGCAGGAGGAAATCCTTCACCTGCAGCAGACGGTGGACCAGATGCTCGCACGGTTGCAGGCGTTGGAGAAACAGCCAGCTGCTGTAGCAGCCGCAGGGCCTTCCACCCTTACCACCCGTGTGCAAGTTTTGGAGGATGACGTCAGCAACATCAAGCGTGTGCATCCCGCCGCATCCTCCCGGCGCCCACCCAAGCTGGATGACATTCCCGTCTTCTGCGATCAGTCCAAGACGAAACCGATCCCGTGGTGGCGCCAGTTTACTCTCAGGCTCGACATGCACCATGTCCCAAACAACGATCGACATCCGTGCTTGTACCACCGATCTGGTGGTGCGTGTCAAGCATGGCTGGACAACATCTTGACCAGCCACGGCGTAGCAGTGTGGGAACTGCACACCAAGCTCACTTGGCAGGAGTTGACCGACGCCTGGCACAAACGATTCCAAGTGGAGCCGCCCGACCTGCAAGCGATGGACAAGCTCAACAAGCTCCATCAGAACACGCTGCTCAATCAGGACTGGATTACCGAGTTCCAAAGACTCGCCTCCACACCTGACCTGCCGCTTGCATTCCGCGCCATCAAACACTTGTTTATTATGCGCTCGTGTCCAGCTCTGCAAAACGCGCTGACGCAGATTGCAGAGACACTCGACACATCTGACAAGCTTTTCAGCACAGCGTCACGGATCATTCTCACGAATATCGAAGCCCGCAACGGCGACCGATCTTCTGCGATGACGAGCGACACCCAGCCCAAGCCAAAGGTGGCTTGCATTACTTCTACCGAGGCTGCAACACCAAACGGGGGTGAAGTGTTGGCAGCTGCCCGGGATGGTGGCCGGCCGCGCAACAACCACGGCCGCGACAAGACGAAGACTCAGTCCACCTCTACACCGAGCACCGGATCAGCCGCCRACGAACCTTGGGCACAATACGGACTCTTGGCGAATTCTTATCGCACAAGACTCAAGTACCGTTACTGCCTTTAGTGCAACACCACCATCCACGATGCTGCACATTGCCCCACCAAAGGGAAACCCCGTCACGGAAAGTAGGCGCCGCCGAGGGTGATTCGACACCTCCCTCGACGCCATCGGAAGCGGTTGTGCGCACGACCGCCCTTTCTTCCGAGGCATATGCGGATGTCGGGAGTCTTCCACTTTCGTTCGAAGACTTCGCTGCCCGGCTCGTTCCTTCACTGGATGCTACTCAAGGACAAGATACATGTGCGGCTTTCTCACCGTCCGAAGGTTTCTCCGCCAGTTCGTCTTCATCAAGGGATTCGGCAAGTGTGTTAAACGAGGAGGCTTTGGACCCGCTCACGCCCGAGGACTTCGTTTGGATTCCTCTCCCTACGACGGGCAACCTTCCGGGGCCGCAAAGCGCAGCCCTATGCGCCCTCTTACACTTGTATCTTTCCTTCCATGCACCACCAACTTCGCCGACGGTAGACGAAGTCGCGGTGGGGGACATGCTTGGCTACGTTGCCAAGGTGGCCCGCGAGTTTGTCTCGCAACGATACGAAGAAAACAATGCACCGTTGCTCTATGTTCGCATTCAGATTGGGCAAGCGGCCTGCAACGCTTTGCTAGATTGCGGCGCAACTCGCAACTTCATCAGCCAGTCCTTCATGACTCGGGCTGGCCTTGGCGCACAAGTACGGAGGAAGTCACATCCGACGACGGTCGCTCTTGCCAACGGTAAGACGAAACARCTTTTAGACCGTTACATCTCGGCTGTCCCGGTGTACTTTGCACCGCACGCATGTGAACCCGTCACTTTTGACGTGTTGGACACCGACTTCGATATCATTTTGGGGATGCCTTGACTTTCTAGCGCGGACCACACGGTCAATTTCCATCGACGCACGCTCACGATTCGTGATGCAACTGGCGCCGAGGTCCCGTGTACTATTCCTCCTCCTCGCTCTTCCATTAGGTGCCAAGTCGTGAGTGCCAAATCTTTTCGAGACACATGCCGTTCCGAGCATATCGAAGAGATTGGCATCGCTTTGCTTCGAACCGTCGCGACGACCGATTCATCGTCCACAGAAGTGTCTTTCGACCCCCGTGTGACCCGGTTGTTAAATGAGTTCTCGGATGTTTTTGAGACACCCTCCGGTATAGTGCCGGACCGGCCAATCTCTCACGAGATCATACTTGAGGCCGGCGCTGTGCCATCGAAAGGATGCATTTATCGCATGTCCGAGGAGGAGCTCACGATTGTCCGTGCGCAACTCGACGATCTACTCGACAAGGGTTGGATCCGCCCTAGCAGCTCACCTTACGGTGCGTCTGTTCTCTTCGTTCGGAAGAAGAACAAGGACCTTCGACTTTGCATTGACTACCGACGCCTCAACGCGCACACCATCAAGAACGCGGGGCCTCTACCTTGCATTGACGATTTGCTTGAGCGGTTGGGCGGCGCGAAGTACTTTTCGAAGTTGGACCTCAAGTCGGGCTACCATCAGATTTCCATCCGCCCGCAAGATCGGTAGAAAACCGCGTTTAAGACGCGATATGGACATTTTGAGTGGGTAGTTATGCCTTTTGGCCTCACCAATGCCCCGGCCACCTTTCAGGCGGCCATGACCATCGAGTTTCGCGCTATGTTGGACCGCTTCGTTTTGGTCTACTTAGACGACATCCTCGTCTATAGCCGAACTCTAGAGGAGCATCTTGAGCACCTTCGCCGTGTTCTAGAGACTCTTCAGTCAGCCCGGTACAAAGCTAACCGCGACAAATGCGAGTTTGTCCGGCAAGAGCTTGAATACTTGGGTCATTTTGTCTCTCCGGAAGGCATTAGTCCTATGGCGGACAAAATTCAAGCCATCCAGGAGTGGCCCGAGCCGAAGAATGTGACGGACGTCCGATCCTTACTCGGCTTGGCCGGTTATTATCAGCGCTTCATCAAGGGTTACTCGAAGATCGCGGCCAACCTAAGCAAGTTACAAAGCGAGGAGCGGCCTTTTGACTTCGACGACGACGCGCGCCATTCTTTTGAGACACTCAAAGCGGCACTCTTGTCCGCTGAGGTGTTACATATTTACGACCCGCTTCTAGCTACGCGCRTCACTACCGATGCGTCGGGCTATGGCATTGGGGCCGTCCTTGAGCAGCACGATGGCACGGACTGACACCCGGTCGAGTACTTTAGCAAGAAAGTACCTCTCGTGCATCCGATCGACGACGCACGGAATAAGGACCTTCTTGCCTTCGTCCACGCCCTCAAGCGTTGGCGACATTTCCTCCTTGGTCAGAAAGCATTCCGATGGGTAACGGATAACAATCCATTGGTATTCTACAAGTCGCAAGACACGATTAACAGTACCATTGCCCG